ACCTCTGACATCAGGAGACGAGAATACATTTATTAATTTCCCTGATTGAAGGCACCATAATACAAGCACTTTAGATAATCCAGCCATTCTTACTGACTGACCTATGTTCTTGATAGGCGAGGCGCAACAACTTACCTACGACCCTGCTTTCATAATTTTGGCAACCTGAGAATTTTCCACCTATTTCAGTTAATCTGTTAGTAGTGCAGATATTCAAATTACCTATTCAGTTTTTATTATTAGATTTTACTGCTAAAAATGTTAAAAATTAGAAGCAGTAGTGATTAAGAACTGCTATTCTGACATGATTCTAATTTTTTATCCTTAATTGATACAAAGACTACCTGCATCTGGCCTGAAGGTACATGAGGAACTAAACAGGGAAGGCAAATTGTTATTTTTAACTTGGAATTTATAAAAAAACAAGTAATATACACGCAAACATATAAAGATATAAGTAAATAGAATATACATTTTCCTGATTTTATGTTTATGAAATATAAACTACACTATTTTCTGCCCATTCAATAACCTATTTGTAGAAATAAATAATGAAACTGTTAAATCTATCTTCTTGTTCAAGTGAAGATACGTTGTAAAAATTATCCATGGATGTAGCTCATGTTATTTTCTGAATTCTCATGAATCAAACTGTCAATAAATGATAATGAGTTTAATGCAGGCATACATATGGAGCTTATGACTATTCCTCCGTTCCATACACCCATTGTGCATACCATTAAGGTCAATAAAAAGATACCCTATTCCAGAACCTATACCTCACATTAGCATTGTTAGTATTTCTTATACTTTCAATTTACATGGAAAAAATTACCATGGCACCAGTTTTATCAAAACTACATTCACAGACTCAAGAAAAGTTCACTGCAACAAATGTACAAGAATCATAAATGAGGATAACTACATAATGCTAGATATAATCGATGCATTTTTATCAAATTGTGTAATTCTATTGAAGATTCAATTAAAACATATAAACATATTTTATTCATATACATTTCTCTAATGAGTTTCGTGAACTAAATCTGACTGAATTATTACATAATACACTGTCAAGATTTGCGTATTTCATTATACATAACTGAGTACTCCCTTCACTTCATTGTATAAGCAATAATCTATTCCTTCCTTTACAATGCAAAACTATTTTGAATTATGTATATAAAATGTATACAAACAGGGTTTTATCATTCATCATAAATCTAACGTGGAAAGTGTGTTAATATAAACTGTAAATGAAGCGCATGCTGACCATGAATTCATCATAAATTTAAGCTGTAAAGTGCATAAAGGAAGGAAATTGTGCTTTATCTTTCCCCTCATGATAGGTTATAATTCCACTGTATATCTGGAAAAATCTAAAACCATTGTATTAGGTCATATAAATGATATTACTGCATACCACATATGGCTTGAAGACTATTTTATTGTATGTTTAAAGATATTCCTGATAATACAATTTGATTCTCTGCTTTTCAGTATTTTTGTATTTTTCACTAATTCTTTAAAACTTCTGGCCAAGCTTGATAAGACTGATGATTTTAACTTTGATTTTCAGTTTTTAATATCATATTATACTTTCAACAAAAAATAAATCTCTATTAAAAGCTATCCAGACCATTAATATTTCTTTTGGTTATTTTACTGAAAATGATTTACTATTTTAATATTGTTCGAAAAACAAAATGAATGTATATTGAGCTAGACGAATGTAGTAATCTGTTTCTGTATGTGTTGTATGAACAGCATGTTCCATGTACAGTAGCACACAAATAATACTCTTCCTCCCTTGTCAATCCTCACATAATGCTATAATCCTACTCTCATTTGATATGCAAGCATAACAGTGATACAGAACATTCACACTAAGGCAATAATACAGATTGATAAAGAAATGTCACATCATTTTCTTGCATGCTTTCAAGAGTAATGGCTTTTATTTGATTATTCTTTAGTCTGACTGTGCATAAATCTGTTTAAGAGCATATAGAGAAAAAGGAATTCAGAAAGACATGAACAATAGGGAATATGAATGGACTATACTTTTAGCTATAAATAAATAAAAATGGATAGATTGACATAGGAAATGTGATACTGAAGAGAAAATATAAGTATGCAACCAACATAGGTGTATCGAGACAAAAATGAATGGACTTTAGGAAAATTTGCCATAGATTTTTTTTTTTTTTTATGAACAAAATATTGAAATAGTATGACAACAACCGGCCAAAAATAAGAGAATGGAATACTTAGAGTATTGTTATAGTTGCTAAGTTTCAAACAACCTTGGGAGAAAATTAGTAATTTGGAATATGATAAGATTAAAGAAAAGAAGATACTGAACGTATAATAGAACTTAGGGAACACTACAGTTAAGAGGATAAAAAGGTTTTAAGGGTAAGTTCATATTCTAGAAAGGTAGTTTATTCAAAGAGAAAATGTTTATGGATACCATTTTGTTAATCTACTTGTACAAAGTTATTTATCCCTCCTATAATAAAATTATACAATCAACAACAAGGGCATCATTTGGGGGGGTGGGGGGCAATTGCCTTACTCAAGGTCTGACTTGCCCCTCCCAAGGGCCACACTCCCACAATTTTTTTTACTAAATTACACCTTGATAACTCTGGCTGTAGCTTAAAAAAAAGCTAGAATACCTAATTTTTCAATAAAATTCTCAGAGGGGACTCAGTGCCCCAGAAAATGATTGCACTCACTTCACTTGACAACCTTCCCCCCGCCCCTCCCCCCAAGAAAAAAGCTGAAATGACGCCCCTGATTCCTATATCTTGATTATGAACTAGATGAAAAAATATCTTGTCTAAAGCTGACCTATTAAAAAAAAAGAAAAAAAAAAAAAAGAAATTGGTACTAAAATAAGAGAATGAAAAGGAGAAACATACAGCAAAGCAGCTAATGAGCTTCGACCATTTTTTTGTTTTTTTTAATAAAAATATCTTCACATGCAAAGCACTTATGTAGTAAAAAATCAGTGTAATTAAATGAAAACTGAAGGTCATAATGCACAATGAATACACAAAAATACGGTTTTGTACTGTCAAAAATTTGCATCGGCAAGTTGAGGCCTACAAGCATAAATCATAGTTGTAATTTGATATGTTGGGAGCAGCAGACATGAATGTCACTTCACAGGAGCCTTAGTTAATGATCAGGGACGACTGTATTAACCACATACCACTGCTGCATGCCAAGTGTTTAATTTAGTAATTGTCATTATATATAAATGGTTCCACAAGTACTAAATCAGCAATGAGCCAATTACGAGAATTACCTGTCTCACCTTTTTACACTTTTCCTTGATTTTCGATAATATATTCTTGTATCTAATACCACTGTTAGTAACGTTGATAACACTATAGTAATTACAATATCTATAACAAAATTAAGTGAGTCAATATTGATAGTATTAGTAAAAAAAAGCATTTTCCCAATATTTCAGAGAAAGTTAGGTCACAAGATCTACTAATTGACTCCTTTGTGGCTAAGCACTGGCAGAGCCATCTATGTACAGAAACATTTAACAAAGTGAATGCAAAATGTTCCCATCGGCATTTGGTTAAAAGAAAGAAAGAAAGAAAGAGAGAAAGAAACAAAGGTACATAAATAATACACATATAAATCAACTGGTATACATTTCTTTTCATAATATTTGTGCTAAAGACAGTATTTTCATGTTTTTATTTTTTCAAATGAATATAGACAGGGTTATGTGAAATAATAATACCAAAACTTTCTAGATGATTTATTGTTGACACAAATAACAAAAAAATCGCATAAAAATGTACATATCCATATTACACACATCCATGGGATGTCTAAGCAATTCAAAACATACATACAGAAGCACCTTTCTTACTAAACTATTGATAAAGGGAAAGTCTTTGATAGAAGAGTTAGCTCTCTTTTGACTCTTTATAAGGAGAGCTAGACCCATAATAGTAATAATAATAATAATAATAATAATAATAATAATAATAATAATAATAATAATAATAATAATAATAATAATAATAATAATAATAATATAATAATAATAATAATAATAATAATAATAATAATAATAATAATAATAATAATAATAATAATAATAATAATAATAATAATAATAATAATTCATAATAATTCATAATAATTCATAATAATTCATAATAATAATATAATAATAATAATAATAATAATAATAATAATAATAATAATAATAATAATAGTAATAGTAATAATAAATATGCTGATAAAAGTAATGTACCATTGACAACAACAATCACAATCAATCATAATTTTAACAAAAGCAAGAAAATACAATAACTGTGATAATAATAATAAAAACAATTATACAGTAAAAGTTGTGAGAATGATAACAATAAAGAATTGTAATAAAAAAATCTGATGGAGTAACAAAACTGAGAAACAAATGAAAAAAGTAAATGAGGAATAACATGTTTTGTTAGTTTTGCAAATTCTGATGGGAATGAAAATTAGTATAAGGAATCTCCTTTTCAATATAATCGACTGAGAAAAAAAAAAAAAAAAAAAAAAAAAAAAAAAAAAAAAAAAAAAAAAAACTGGAAGACCCTTTCAAAATTATCTTACAATATCACAACCAATATTACTGTTTTTATGTACACAATGGATACTGGGGTAAAATTATCTCCTTGCACTTAAAATAAAAGGAAAAAGCTGAAAATGAAAACAAAGAAAAGAAAAAGACAAAGAAAAGAAGAAAAAGAAGACAACAAAGAAAAGAAAAAAAAGACGAAGCCAAAGAAAAGACGAAAATATGATGATAAAGTGTTGCAAATAAATACCACTTTGTTACCGGGGGCAAAAAGCTAATTTGCTTGGAAAAGGTATTAACGATAATATTCCTAATAGTCAATATTCCAAAGAGAGATAATGCAACCTACGATATAAATAAGAAGGGGTATTCGGAAAACAGACTTGCCAATCACTTAATCTCCTCATAAGGAATCTAAAAGGAAAGGAATTGGAGTATATCTGATTTACAAAATAACCAAACTATAATTCTTTTTTTTTCCTCATACATACACTATCACACATCAGTCATACCCTAACCCACATTACAAACACTGAAAATATATCTTTTCCTTTAGATCTTTACAAACATTTACAATTTCATTATTGCTTTCCACATAATATTGCTTACGCTTTTGTAAAACCATGTCTTTAGGTTGTACAAATGGCAAATTTTAACATGTGTATTGTAGTACTGTTAAAATCTTGTGAATATCACAGACTTCCTTTATTCACATTCTGTGACCATTATCTCCTTTACAAAAGGAATCATTATCATCTAATATTTCTTTTTTATAAAGAAATTCCTTTGCACACTTTTGATTTTTGTAATACAAATATACACTGAAAAAATGTCCTACTGCATTGTTCTTACAAATAAACAATTACTGTTTTTACATATTCATGTATAAATGTATTTATGCTTTTTAGTGGTACAACTCATAAAATCCTGAATTGTAATTAGGTTACTCTCTAATATTGTTTCTTTTGAGACAGAAATGACCGATCAAAAAAGAGAGAGAGAAATAAAAGAGAGGAAAAAAGCAAAATAAAGCTTGCTTAAGTATTCACATGTGTAATCTAAACAATTAAGAATATATATCCATTTAGTAGATATGTAATGGTGGCTGGTGTCTACTTTTAACCCCATATTACACGTCAGAAAGCAAAATTTCTGAAGATGAGGCTCCACAGCACAGGAAAAGGGATTTATCTCCAAATGTGAATGCCATGGAGGACTGTTCAAATATATCCGAGCAGGACCTTAACAATCCTATAATGCTGTATGGATCACTGATTTTGAAGTTTCAACAGCAGTAACATCTACGACAAGAAATATCTCCTGTTCCTTGCTTGTGTGGCCAATAAGTATCTTTGCCCCTTCTCTGATGCACTAAAATCAACCTTAACTACATACAAATGAGTGTTCAGTTACTGAGAAATCACTCTCTTGGATGGATAATAGATAATACCTAGATTAACCAGAAGAATCTAGAGGTCACCTAAGTACCATAACATTGGTTTTACAATGTGGAACTAAATCTTGCTGGAGCAGCCTCTAAATACTGTTTATTTTCTATATTCCTTGAGTTTTTAAATAATTAAATGAACAATATTACAGAAAAACCCAGATATTATATTCATTTAGATCAGCCGTAGTATGCCCATATTTGTGTGCATGTTTCTGTGTAAATAAACAGGGGAAAATATGTAAAACTTCTATGGGACAGAGATCTTATGATCAATTTTTGCTGGCAAATTAGAATCACTGTTTATATGTAAAACTTTTTTGGCACAAAAAGTCCTGGTATGCCCACACACCTTGTCATTTTCACCTATGATGCACTTATTAACCATTATATCAACCAACTCAAATGAGAGAAAACAAAAATTTTTCTTCATTACTTTGGTTATCAATCACTTCAGGCCCACTCTTTCCTTCCATCACAAATCAAGAGACAGTATCTTCGCTTCCATCACACAACCTAAACACGCAAAATCTTTCCATTACAAGTCACAAGGTTAAACACAATTCCCGTAACAACAAAATTGGTAGACAACTGAGCCTATTTCATCTTCTTTGGCATGAACTTCAACGAGGCAGAGTTGATACAGTAGCGGAGTCCTGTTGGCTCTGGCCCGTCAGGAAAGACATGACCCAGATGAGCTGCACACTGAAAATTAAAAGGGAATTATTTTGAGAAACTCATCATTATCAATGCTATTCCACCATTATCATTACCTTTATGTTATTACTATTGTTTGTTTTTATTTCATTAGTACAGTATTAAACCCTTGGATCCAGATAACATGACCATCATATCATGAAAATATTCGGGCAAGTAGTGGGAGAAATGAACATGTTGTCACGGGAAAATATGGTTGAGGGCCAAGCTGATGAGAACATGTTATTAGAATTTCTGCTGAAGTCCAGGGTGACAGGAATGACTTGCTAAAGCCCTTGGAGCGTAATTACACTCAAGTGGTTATTTACGAAGGAACTCTTGCATTATAGGCTATCAGGGTGTATTACAGAAAATTGAGTATAAAAAAAAAAAATAAAAAAAAAATATATATATATAATATATATATATATATATATATATATTATATATATATATATATATATTATATATATATATATATATATATATATATATATTACTATTACTGCACTGAGTTATGCACTACCTAGTGATATGATACAGAGTCTGTGCAAGGGAAATGGCTTATTACCATCTTGATATGGCAAAATCAAATGACAAATACAGACATTGGAAAATGGCAAAAAAAAAAAAAAAAAAAAAAAAAAAAAAAAAATGCTGATGAAAGAGAAAATAACACCGCAAAGGATAGAAAAGGAATCTTGACATCGCACATGTGTGTTCATATGAGCCTGGCCTACAAGCCACACACAAATGAGAATAGTGACTAAAGTAAGCCTAATGCTCGGACTTTTGAGGAAGTGCGGGCAGTGAAGTACTCAGATCCAAGGGGTTAAAAACTTATATATCATTACCAGTAAATAATTTTGTGTTCTTGTTTTTATTTTCATGCCATCTACTTCTAAGCTATTACTATTCTTTATCTTTATTCAATCTCAATCATTACCATTTATTTTTTGATAAGAAAATATCAACAGAATCTCAAATGTCTAATCAAATAGATAACAAAACATAAGACTGAACAAAGGAAAATAAAGTTAACATGGGTGGAAAAAGGCAATAAAATGTAAATAAACAAGTAAATGAGATTATAAAACATAGGTAATGAAATTGGCAATTTAAATAATATAAGATAAAAAAAGAAGAAAAAGAAAAAGAATAAGAAAAAAGCCATAATAACCGTACAAGTATTACTGCTGCTGCTATTAATATCATTATCAACAACTCTAAAGTTAACAGTAACCAAAAACATGAATCTATAACATTATCATAAAATCTTAAAAGAGTTATGAAGAGGAAGAAGAAAAAATGAACATGAAGAGAGAGTAGAAGCAATAGAAAAGAGAAATCAATAACAATAATGGGATCATAGCAATAAATACCTTTTGGCAGTGGACTTCTGTTCGCACCATGGAGTGAGACCTGTCAGTACGCGTTTCTACAACTTCGGTGGCAGCATCTCCAAGAGACTTACCTTCGGCCGAGTGAAAGGAGGGCCAGCCGCTGCCTGACTCATACTTTGTCTTAGAACTGGAAAGAAAATGGATAAAAAGAAAGATAGAGTGAAAGAGAGGAAAATTACATATATATGCAAAGAAAACTACAAGTGTATATGCTAACATATTTCACACATATTAATTAATTTCTGGCTATTTGTGACATCTCTAGTTTATAAATGGAGTGACATAATTTAGGTTCACAAAAAATATTATATTCAACAAAAAAAGCCTGTTACAAGAAATTAGTACCATAATAAAGCTTTTACCTGAACAAATCTGTACCACAGCAAACACACTGATACATTCCATCTGCAAAGTGATTGTAGTATGCTCCACTGAAAGGCTGTCATGAAATACAATAATTTTTTATTAGAATTTATTGTCTTTTGTCTGTCTCTTAAAATAAAATGTCCTTTTATTCTGCAAAAAAGGGAGTGTTATAGTGAAGGCTATGACAAAGATATATTTTATGCATATATTCTTTTAGATATCAATTCACTTCATGTTGACCTTAGTTCTATATTATATTTCATATTGTAACAAGCATCCAGAAGTCTAATTTGTCACATATTACATCAAAATCATTATAAATCTTAACCATTAGTCCTATCAATATAATTACCCATTAAGAAAGTAATACTGATAGTGCTGATGATAACAGCATAATGAATATAATTAATTACACCAAAAATAATATAAACAGTAATAATAAAAGTAGCACCTGCTCAGTCTCTCAGGCCCTAGGAAGAACCACTAATAGGGCTCTTGCCTGAACTAACACCAAATAGCAACCAAGTAACCAAGTACATATCAATATCAAAATCATTATTCTTGATATTTGTTTCAAAACATTTTCCTTGCATAATACTTCAAAACTCGAATAAGGTGAATATTGTCTCATCCCATTTTAATCCTTCTTCTATCATTATCATAAATAAGGAATATTTAGCCCTAACATTTACCCAAAGAAGGTTAGCAAGGATAGAAGGATGAAATAGGTAAAGGATTGAAAATAAAAGAAAGAAAGAAAAAAATTGTAATCATAAGAAACCTCACTGGTGGTCTATCGTATCATATCCAATCTAAAAAATATATTGCAGCCAGACACGTTATCGAGAAAAATCAACAGACTCATCTTAGGTTCATCTGTTGCTTTCTTATCAAAGTGTCTCTCGACAGATAGGTTCTTATCAGCTCATAGCAACATTATGTTCCTATTTCTTATGACAAAATATATAACCTTTAAGAAAAATTATGTATATTTAATACAAATAAATGTGACAGTTTTCGTTCAAATGGAGGAAAATAAAGTAATAGAAAAAAGAGGAAGAGCAAGACAAAGAGGAAATCATGAACTTAATCTTCCATTCATTCACTGGACTCGTCATAAACCCAAGGATACTGTAATGCGTAGTTCAACTGGACAGACAAGATAAGGCATCCTCGTTAACAGCATCTTGTTGCAACCTGTTTCACAGAGCATCCGGGAGAGTACTTTTTATGTGCGACTACAGTAAAAATAACATTTAGATATTACAAAGTCCTGATTACCATAAATATGTCTGAAATTTCTGAAAGCTTTTGAAGTAACAGAAAAACATTTGCATGAGAGAGGGAAAGGGAGAGGGAGGAGGAAGGGAGGAGGGAGGGAGGGAGGGAGGAGGGAGGGAGGGAGGGAGGGAGGGAGGAGGGAGGGAGGGAGGGAGGGAGGGAGGGGAGGGAGGGAAGGAGAGGGAGCAAATGGAATATTAATAATAATGATGAATAATTATAACAAAAATCATACACAATAATAAATCCAACTATAAAAAAAATCTCACCGGTTCAGTCCCTCCTTCTCTTGTGACATAGTACTGTTCAGGCGTCAATTCTTTCTGCCAGTCCTCCAGGGTCATCTTCTTGGGGTCCTTTCTATGGGGCGGCATGTACAAGGCTGCAATATGTAAAGTGGTATAGAATACACAATCTATTTACATGAAATCTTTGAATTTATGAAATAATATGAAAAATCTACTTAAACATTTAGGAAGTAAATGTATATTCAAACTTTACACATCAATTCAAAATTACATAAGAACTGTCACAGATGATTAAGTACTCGAGCAATAAGTCCACAATACGAACAAGTGAACGAGTCTGTAAAGTTAACAACTACAAGGCAAAACTACGAGCAAGTTTGAGAAATAGGTAATTATTAGCAGAAAAACCCAGTTTCTAAATTTTCCTTTCTCTCAAGTTGCCTTTCATGTGCTGACTAAATAAATCCACCATTTCATTCCAATAAAATCTACAAGAGTAATGGTGAAAAAAAAATATAGCATAACAACTTCAGAGAAACAAAGAAAGAGAATTCCTTTAATTTCTTTTGAAAAAAACACCAACTCATTCATTCACACAAAGCCAAACCTCCCCAAATGCACTAATTACCTTTAGTAACGGCAAGTCCCCTCGCCCCAGTCTTGAGCACAGGACCACGACATCCCACAGCCATTCTGAAGAAGGACCTGCACGCAAACCCAGCCATGGCGAAGGGCTGTGCTGAAACAAATTCCTCAGACGAGAGAGAGAGAGAGAAAGAAATATCGCGTGTGCGTGTCTGAACGGCGTGTGGAGTCTGTATGCGTACGTGTGTCTGTATTCGGGTCTGTGTGCGTATTGCCTCTCGGTGGAATCACGTGGAACCTTCACGTTGTCAACAAAGGGATGCCAACAACTGCCAACTCGGAGCGCGATGCCACGGACACCGGGTTATTTGTGCCCTCTCACGCACACGCCATGTAAGTGTACATTCTTTGACGAAACTGCTTGCGTATACATATGTATTCGTGTGTGGTTACACTGTGCACAGATAAGTGCATAAAATCACACGTAGAAACATGTACACGCTCGTGAAATGGGAGGGAGGGGGGAAAGAAGGAAGGAAAGAGGGAGGGGAGGGGAAGAGAAGGAGGGAAGAGGGAGGAGGGGGAGGAGGAAGAGGAGGGAAGGAGGGAGGGAAGGGGAGGAGGAAGAGGGAGGGGAGGGAAGGGAGGGGGAAGGAGAAGGAGGGAAGGAGGGAGGAGGGGAGGAGGGGAGAGAGGGAGGAAGGAGGGAGGGAGAGGGAGAGGAAGAGGGGGGGAAGGAGGGAGGGAGGGGGAGGAGGGAAAGAGGGAGGGAAGGGGGAGGGAGGGGAAGGAGGGAAGAAGGGGAGGAGGGAGGGAGGGAGGAGGAAGGAGGAGGAAGGAGGGAGGGAGGGAGGAGGAGGGAGGGGGAGGAGGAAGAGGAGGGGAGGAGGTGGGAGGGAAGGGGAGGAGGAAGGAGGGGAGGGAAGGAGGGAGGGAGGGGAGGGAGGAAGAGGGAAGAGGAGGGAGGGGGAGGGAGGGGAGGGGAAGAGGGAGGGAAGGAGGAGGAGGGAGGAGGGAGGGAGGGGAGGGGGAGGGAAGGGAAGGGAGGGAGGAGGGGGAGGAAGAGAGGGAAGGGAGGGGGGGAGGAAGTGGGAGGGAAGGAGGGGGGGGAGGGGGAGGGAAGAGGGAGGGGGAGGAGAAGAGGGAGGGAAGGAGTGGAGAAAGAGGGAGGGGGAGGAGGAAGAGGTAGGGAAGGAGGGGAGGGAGGGGGAGGAGGAAATGGAGAAGAGAGGAAACGGGAGGTGAGGGGAGGTGGAAGAGGAAGAGGGAGGGAAGGGAGAGGGAGGGGAGGAGGAGGAAGAAGATGGAGGGAAGGAGGGAAAGAGGGGGAGGGAAGTGGGAGGGACGAGGGAGGGAGGGGGAAAGGGAAGAGGGAGGGGGAGGGGGAAGGAGAAGAGGGAAGGGAAGGAGGGAAGAAAGAGGGAGGGGGAGGAGGAAGAGGGAGGGATGGAGGGAGGAGGGGGAGGAGGAAGAGGGAGGGAGAAGTGAGGGGAGGGGACGGGGAAGAGGAGAGAAGGGAGTGGAGGGAGGGGAGGAGGAAAATGGAGGGAAGGAGGGAGGGAGGAGCAAGGAGGAGGAAGTGGAGGGTAAGGATGGGAGGGATGGCGAGGGGGAGGCAGGAAGAGGGAGGAAACGAGGGATGGGAGGGGGGAAGGGAAGAGGGAGGGGAGGAGGGTAGGAAGGGGGGAGGAAAAGAGGAGGGACTATAGGGAGGGAGGGGAAGGGGTGGAGGGAGATGGAGGAAGGAGGAGAGGAGGGGGGTGGAGGGGAATTGAGGGAACGGGAGAGAGGGAAAGAAAAGAAGGAGGAAGGAGGGAGAAGGACAGAATGGATGGAGGGACAGAAAGGAATGAATTGGGGGGGCGAGAAACAAGGGAAAGGAAGGGGCGAGAGGAAAGGAAAGAAGGAGGAGGGATGGGGGTGAAGTATGGAGAGAGGGGAAAAAGAAAGAAGGAATGAAGAGGGGAGGGAAGCAAGGAAGGTAAAGAAAGAGGCATGAAGCGAAGGAGGGAGGGAGGAAGGAAGAAAGGCAAGGGAGGGAAGAGGGAATGACGTAGAGGGAAGGAAGAAAGGAAGGAAGCGGGGGAATGAAAAATGGAAGGGATAGGGCAAGGAAGGAAGAAGAAGAAGAGAGAGAGAGAGAGAGGAGATGAGAGAAGAGAGAGGAGGAGAAGAGAGAGAGAGAGAGAGAGAGAGAGAGAGAGAGAGAGAGAGAGAAGAGAAAGAGGAGAAGAGGGAGAGAGAGAGAGAGAGAGAGAGAGGAGAGAGAAGAGAATGGGAGGGAGAGAGAGAGAGAAAGACGAGAGAGAGAGAGAGAGAGAACGGTGAGGAGGAGAGAAGAGAGGGAGAGAAGAGAGAAGGAGAGGGGGAGGAGAAGGAGGAGAGAGTGCGAAGAAGAGAGAGAAGAAGGGAGAGGAGGGAGAGGGAGGAGAGAGAGGAGAGAGGGAGCGGAGAGGGAAGAGAAAGTGAAAGAGGAGAAGAGGGGAGAGAGAGAGAGCGAGAGGGAAGAGGAGACGAGGAGAGGGGAGGAGGAGAGAAAAGAGAGAGAGATGAGAGAGAGTAGAGAGAGACCAGAGAGAAAGAGGGAGAGGAGAGAGAGAGATAGAGACAAGAGGAAAGAGAGAGAGAGAGAGGATAGACTTAGAGGAGGTTAGGAGAGTAGAGAGAAAAGCAGAGAGAGAGAGAGGAGAGTGGGGGAGAGAGGAGGAGGAGAGGGAGGAGAGAGAGAGGAGAGGAGGAGACGGGAGAGGAGAGGGAAAATGAAGAGAGGAAGAGAGGANAGAGGAAGGGAGGGAGAGGAGAGAGGGAGAGGGAGGGAGAGGGAGGGAGGGGGAGGGGGAGGGAGAGGAGAGGGAGAGGGAGAGGGGAGAGAGAGAGAGGAGAGAGAGAGAGAGAGGGCTGAGAGAGAGAGAGGAGAGAAGAGAGAGAGAGAGAGAAGGAGAGAGATGAGAGAGAGAGCGAGAGAGAGAGATAGATCAATGTCCTATTACTGAAATATGTATACTAATATCAAACAATATATCTTTTGTTATACTCTACATAATTCACATAATCTTACACGTTTTCCACACACCTATACATATGTATCCACGCAAGATCATTGTTCTACCTATTGATTCATCTCTTCTTATCTCAATAAACATTCCACTGTCATGTTGTCCTTTTCCTTCCGCAATAGAAAACGTATTACGGCAATACTTCCTTCCTCCTCCACTGGTATTAAACACTTCCTCCTCGACCAATATTAACACGTGATTTATGTCCATCCTTAGACCACTGTTCAATACGGCAAGCAGGGAATGCGGGAAAGTAAGGAGCAATATTTTGCTTCTTGGAGGAGCAGCTTCACTCAACAGCATATTATTACTCTCTTAATATAGGAATCATGGGCATATTGGAGAAAAAGAGGGAGTGGGAGAGAGAGAGGAGAGAGAGAGAGAGAGAGAGAGAGAGAGAGAGAGAGAGAGAGAGAGAGAGAAGAGGAGAGAGAGAGAGAGAGAAAGAGCTCTATCAAATGCCTTATTTTACTAAGATATGTATACTAATATCATAAAATGTATCTAACGGTTATACTCTACATAATTCACATAATCGTACACGTTTTCCACACACCTATACATATGTATCCACGCAAGATCATTGTTATACCTATTGATTCATCTCTTCTTATCTCAATAAACATTCCACTGTCATGTTGTCCTTTTCCTTCCGCAATGGAAAACGTATTACGGCAATACTTCCTTCCTCCTCCACTGGTATTAAACACTTCCTCCTCGACCAATATTAACACGTGATTTATGTCCATCCTTAGACCACTGTTCAATACGGCAAGCAGGGAATGCGGGGAGGCAAGGAGCAAATATTCTCGCTTCTTGGAGGAGCAGCTTCCTCAACAGCATATCAACTCCTCTGATATAGGAATCATGGGCATATTGGAGAAAGAGAGAGTGGGAGAGGAGAGAGAAGAGAGAGAGAGAGAGAGAGATGAGAGAGAGAAGAAGAGAGAGAGGAGAAAGGAAGAGAAGAGAGGAGAGAGAGAGAGAGAGGTGAGATGGAGAGAGAGAGAGAGAGAATGTGAGAGTGAGAGAGCGAGAGAGTGAGAGTAGAAGGGAATTAGATAGATAGACAGAGAGACAATATGAGAAGGATGGAGAGAGAGAGAGATAGAGAGTAGGAGATACATATAGAGAAAGTGGGAAATACAGATAGAGAGAGTAGGAGAGAGATAAAGAGCAAGTAGGCGAAAGATAGAAAGTAGGAAAGAGAAAGAGAGAGATAGAGTGTAGGGGAGAGACGGCGACTGCAGAAAGATTTGATACCAGTCTGGTTGGGCAGCGATAGATTGGTATGGATTAATTCTTTATTTGAGAAGAAAGAATACAGCACACTGATAATGGCACAAGTATTATAAACTGGGAAACAACGTCGAACGGTGACGAGCTGGTGTTCACGCAACGGTAGGGAAGATGTTCTGCTCTGTGTTTCTTCTCGTTCAGACTGACAGCATCTTGGTTTTCCTGCTGGTGTTGCCGGCATCGAAACCGCCCAAGTGCAGACGCGACGTAGGGTGTCGCCCGAAGCATACGCCATCTTGAATAAAGGAATCCTGGGCGCTACTGTTACCTTCACTGACGAGTTCCTGGCCCTTCGCTGAATCTAAGAGCGCTCCAGTAGGAGGCGTCACAGCAGGTTGCGCCCTTCTGCATCCTGGGGCGGGCAGTACTAACACTGATGAGTTCCTGGTCCTTCGCTGAATCTACGGGCGTCCCGGCGGGCGGCGCCCTTCCTTTACATCCTGGGGTGCCTGGTACCTGCACTGACGAGTTTATAGCCCTTCACTGGACCTACGGACGCTCTAGTAGGCGACGCCCTTCTCCTGCATCCTGTGGAGCCTGATGCTTACCCTGACGAACTCATGGTCGCTGGCCTACGCGTGGTTTTCCTTCCCACGGCATCCTGAGGCGACGGTGTCCCCCGAATCATACACGCAAGGGCCAAGATAGTAAGGGATAAAAAAAGGCAACACAGAGGAAGTTAAATGTTTACTAACCATTTTATACACATTCGCTATTTATAATGTTAATTTGATTTTTTTAAAACTTTTATGTTTTTCTTCAAAGATAAAGTGGAAACAGAAGAGGGAGACGTAGGTAGTGATCCGCAAAGACCTGCTTGATCTACAAACCGTTCAGGTAGATAAGTAGATAAGGGAGACGGCAGCTTCAATCCGCGGGGATTTACTTGAACCGCTGACCGTCTCATATAGATAGAAAAGTATAAAATACGAAATAAAGTACATTAAGTATTATTTACTCGTCAAGACTGGCAAAATCATGGGCGAAAAAGGTAAATACTTGCGGGCA